GACCCGGGATCCGAAGCCGAAGCCCGGGTCCGGGATTCGGGACCCAGCTCGGGGACTCCAAGCCGAAGCCCGAGACAGTGGTTTCGGAACCCGGAACCCAGGATCCGAAGCCGAAGCCAGGGACCCGGGACCCGGGATTTGGTACCCGGGACCTGGGACCCAAAGCCGGAGCCGAAGCCGGGGACCCGGGACCCGGGAACCCGAGACCGGGAACCCGAAGCGAAGCCTGGGACCTGCTACCCCGGACTTGGGAACCAGGACCTGGGACCCGAAGCCAAAGCTCGGGACCTGGGACCTGGGAGCTGGGACCTGGCAGGGCCGTCCATTTTTTTGGGGGGGTCCCGAATCCTCGAATGGTGTAAGTGTGTAGTCGCAGGCGTAGCGGCCCAGAAGTATTGCACGCCGAAGGGCGAGTCTAATCGCAGGAGCAGCCCAGTGCCTAATCGCAAGAACATTCCATTGCCCAATCACAAGAACATCCCCTTGCTCAATCGCAAGAGCAGTGCACACGGTTCGATCGAACAGCGCGAATTCCATAGTGCGCAGGCGGCGCGCACGAGTCGGTGGAACAGCGCAGCGTTCGTCCTCCTTCTCCTTCTCCATCACACCTTCCTCCTCCCCCGCCTCCTCCTCCCTTCCACCTCCGGCTCCGCCTCCACCTGCACTCCCACCTGCGCCTCGCTCTCCCTCTCCCCCTCCTTCTCCTCTTTCTCCCTATCCTCCCCATTCCTCTCCCCCTCCTCTCCCCCCTTTTCTTCCTGGCTTCGGAGTCAACTCTCTTCCAACGTCTCTCTTCACAGCAGGGGGAGGGGAGGCTGCGGAGGCATGTCGTGCGTCAGGTAACGTACTCGCTCGCCTCACCTGGCGTCGCTGCGAGGCGATCGGGGAGGGGAGGAACCGGTAAAAGCACGAGGCAGCAGGCTGCTGGTGAGCATGCAGGGGTCTCCCTTGCGCGCGCCGAGCGGGCACAGGCAGATCGCGTGCGAGCGGAGTCGGGACGTTGACAACCATGTGTTGGCCACGGGTCAGGATACCCGTCGGTCGTTCAAAGGAGGTGTTTTTTGATGCCCAAATCCCACTCTATTTTAGGCGCCTTCCTACTTTAAGGGTCGAGTGGTGTTCCCGCTTCCCTTTTCCGGGGGCGGGCGGAAGCCCAATCTACTCTCAACGCCTTCCTACTTCTTGTTTTTACCCACTTCTTGCGACCGACGGGTACGCATCTCCCGCGTTTGGCCCGCCAACGTGTGACGGGAGCCAAGCAGAGTCAGACAGAGCGATTGTTATTCTGGGGGGGCACTTTTTTGGCGCGCGTAGCGAGGTCCTCGCTGGCCCTTCCCTCTCTCCATCCCTTCTCCTTTATAAGCAGCCGCTCCCTGTCACACTCCGCAGCCGGTCGAAGGGGCGGGCCAGGCGGGCGGGCTGCTCAACAGTTTCACGGCAAGATGGCGGGTGGTTTTCAAGATGTGGTTCTCGCCTGAGCGCTGCGCACATGAGTCTTGAACGTTTGCAAGAGTTTCATGTATTGAGGGCGGATCCCTTGCAACATGTGGTTCTCGCCTTCGCGCCGCGCGCACTGGCTTTAAACATTTGCTCGAGCTTCGGGTCGTTCTCAACATGTGGCTCGTGCCTTAGCGTATCTTCGTCTTAGAAAGGTTGCAAGGGTTTCACGGATGGAGGGCGGCTGCTGTTCAAAATGTGGCTCTCGCCTGAGCCTCGCGCGCATTCATCTTGAGAGTCTGCAGCAGTTTCAAGGCTTCTCATGGCCAGCGTCCCAGACATGCTGTTTTGGATAGTATCCGAATGTCAGGGCGCAGCCGTCACGTTGATTCGCGCTGCTGAAGTCCCAGGAAAGGTGCAGTGGCACGGATTCAGCACTGTCAAGGCGCAGCAGTATGGGTGACTCACGGCGGTGAAGTCCCAAGAACGGTGTTCTGGCACAGTTCCGGATCTTCAAACGGCTGTCTTCCAACGGGGCACTTGCCTCGGTGAGAACGAATCCCTGTAGGGGTTTGTGAAGAGGGAACTTGGAGGGATGCTTTATTGCAATATCGTTGATGAGTCTTGGTTTTGCACTGGTTTCTCCTCCTCCTCCCCCTCCTCCTCCTCCTCCTCCCCCTCCTCCTCGCCCTCCTCCTCCTCTTTCTCCTCCTCCTCCTCCTCCTCCTCCTCCCCACCCTGTTTCTGTCCCTGTCCCTGTCCCTCTCCCTGCCCCTGTCCCTGTTCCTACCCCCCCTCTCCGTCTCCCTCTCTCTGTCTCTCCCTCTCTGTTTGTGTCTGTGTCCGTGTCTGTGTCTGTGGAACGAACCCCCACCCTGCCAAGTTGAGCAGCGAATTGCCCTTTCTTCGATTCTCGGGACGGTGTCGTTACCGCCATGTTTTGCGGGCCTGCGCCCGTCCGGGCCCGGTCCCAGGCCGCTTCCGACAGATTGTGCTTTGCTGAAGGGCCTTCAGCCCGACGGGCGCCTGTCCGCTTTCGCGTCTTTGCTCGACTAGACGTAAGAGTGACCCTTCGCCGGAGTGACCTTTGGTGCGGGCCAAGTGGGGCCCCTCCGATCGCCGAACGCGAGGCGGCAGCGGCGTCTTGCGCGCTTGTGTTTGGTCCCCCCGCGGCCGCCAAGAAACCGCGCACCAAAGGTCACTCTTACCCATGGTCACTCTTGCGTGTAGCCGGTTTGCGCCCGCTGACTCAAAACATGTTTTGGTAAAGAGGGTTCTGTCCACTCCTATCTTGTCCCCCTTCCTCCTCCCTCTTCCCACTGCAGACGCTCCTGTGACAAGGGGTCGGCATGTGCGCGGGCGACACTCGTCAAGGACTTCCTTTCGGGAGACCTCACAGGCGAGCTCTGAATGCCTGCATGCCTGAGGCAAGCCATGCGTTGAGGCTTCGAGTGCGCTTCTGCTCCCCTCCTCTGGGTCCCCCTGTTGTGCATGTGGCTTATTTCAGTTGGCGTCTGCCTTCCCGCTGTTGCGCGCCCGTGAGGCCGGCGGACTCGCTCTCGGCAGCCCGACCCAGCGAGCCTCGCCCCTCGGGTGCCGCTCTTGGCTCGCGCGGTCGCTGCGTCCTGGCGGCTCGGTCGGGCGCTGGGCGCCCCGACTCGTCTGATCGGATCCTCGGAAGCAGGAGTTGACTTGCCATGTCTGTCTGCGCTGTGCCTTCTGCGCCTCTCTCTCTTTTTCTCCCCCCCCCTCTCCCCCTCGCCCCTTCCCCTCTTCTCGCCCCTCACGCGGCACAATCTGCGGAGCATTCCGGCGAAGCTTGGGTCCGCACGCGCAGGCACGAGCTGCGCTGCTTGCCCCTCTGGTCCCTGGGCCCCGGCCGCCTCCCTGCGCCCCCCCGTGCGCCAGTCTGCTGGTGAGTGAAGGGCCACTGGCCGCAGCGCCGGCGGGGGCGACCATGCCCTGCGGGATTGCTTGGGGGGAGCCTCCTCCCCCCTCGCTGGAGGCTTCTGTTTGTGTCTCGGTCGGGCCCTCTGTGCCTCTGTGCGGCGTGCGGCCGTCCAGGGCTCACTTCGGCTCGCTCTCCTCTCCCCTCGCCTCCCCTCTCTCTTCGCTGACGATGCCTTCTCGTGTGGCGTTCTCGGGTTGCCCGGCAGTGCTCCGTCTCACGATCGATTGCCCCCAGAAGCGTGCTTGATTGCTGTAGAGACATGCGCTCTCCTCCCTCCTCCCTTCTCCGTCTCTCCCTTCTCTTCTAGCTTCTTCTTCTTCTTCTTCTGCGTCTTAGTTCCCCAAGCAGTGCTTGCATTTAGGGGCTTTTGCTTGGCGTTTCGAAGGAGTTGGATGGGTGTCCCGGGGATCCGCTCTGTTCTGGCTTCTTGTCGCCCCGTTGCCGCCCGCCGTCGCCCGCGGTGGTGTCCCAGGATTCACCGTGCTCCGGCCCGTTGCCGCCCGTGGCCGCCTCCTGCCGCCCGTGGGGGTGTCGCGAGGAGTCGCCACGTTCTGGCCAGCTGACGCCTGTTGCCGCCCGTACCGCCTCGTGTGCGCTCGTCGGTGGCCGCCCTGTCTGTCTTGTCCCTCCCCTCCTGCACGCCGGCCAGTTCTCGGAAGCAGAAGCACTCTTATGTCACTGGTCGTCTGGGTTTCCGATCATAGACGTTGGGTTGAATGAAGATTCGGCGCGCACTTCGTTTCGCTGCCTGCTGCCTCCTTGGAACGTGTAAACTAAGCGAACGTGACCATCGCAAGATGTTGCCGGCCTCATCGAAAACGACGCGCGCGCTGTAGATGTATTCCCATGTATTGATGGAAGGCGACGTGATGCGCGATGCATCGGCCCTTCGGTTGGTTCGAGCGGCCTTCGAACAGACATCGAGGCCACATGTGTCTATATAGTCGCTGCTTCATTTCAAGGCTACCTTCAAAGCTACCCGGCAATGTCGACGGGAACCTTCATGCCCGAACGAATATGTGCACCGTTATTTTCCGCGGGCCTCAGGTGCAGGGCTGCGAGTGCCGCGCCGCAGATCGGTGCGCGCGCTAAAGCGAGGGCGCGACCCTGCGTCGATCGGCCTGCCGCCTCAGGGCGCGCGCAATGTCCGCCCCTGGAGCCCCCGCCAGGCCGGATCGGTGAAATAAAAGATCTCGTTGTTTTGGGTGGGCCACAAACAGAAAATGTTTCATTTCACCGGTCGCGGGTCTGGGTTGCGTCCCTGTCTGGGGCGGATGCGAGTGGTTCTTTGCGGACTTCTGCGGGGGACTCGCTCTAGGGCGTATCAGGCCTCTCTTGGGGCATGTCGCGCTGTTCCTCGCGTTCTCCTACTGGCTTTCCCTACGCTGCTGTGGAGCTAGTGGGCCCACTTGCGTCAATGTGGAAACTCCTGGGGATGTTTCGGCGACGCTTTGGGGGTCTCTGGGCTTCACCAGGCGCCCAGGGCGGTTTCTCGGTACATTCAGGCTGACTTGGAACCCCCCTTCGTCCCTGGCCGCCCAGAGAGCGCCATTGGTGCGTTGAGGGCTTCCTTCAGGCGGCAGGTATTGGTGTCCAAATGCTGTGCGACGCCATGCTGGGCGCCCTTTCAAATCGCAAGCTCGGTTGGTTCGCGCGTTTGGCGTCGCGTCGCGCAAATGTCGGCCTCATCGTGATCAGTGATTGGCACATGGGCCATAACATCAAAGTCTACAGGCCGATCAGCGACATGTAACGGTTTTGATCCCTGAGTTCGCGTTTCGGTCGTTCCAATCGCTCACCACTGGAGCAGCTCTTCTGCCTCGCCGCCGACGAAAAAAAGGTGCGCTCCTGGGCGCCCCGTGCGCTGGGTGGGTTAGCCGAAGTGGCGCCACGCTGCCGCCCGTGCCGTCTCGCGGGCGCGCCCGTGGGCGGTCTCCGTGCGCTTGGGGGGGGGATTGCGCCAGGGCTGCGCCACGCTGCGGCCCGAGGCCACCTCGTGGGCGCTCGTGGTCGCCCCGTGCGCTGAGCTTCGACCCACCTTGCACCGCATAGCTTGCGCCGCATGTAGCTGGCACAGCATAGCTTGCACTGCACAGCTTGGGACGCATAGCTTACACCGCACCGCGATCACCTCCACGAAGCAACAATTCACTGTTAGGGGTTTCCGTGCTGGCTAACATCTCCTTTTTCCTAAACAGTGCTTGCACATATGGGGTCTTGTTACCTTTCTACGGAGATGGGTCTGGTTGCCGGGTCCGCCGTCTTGTTGTCGCCGTCGCCGCCAGGTCGCCGCCTCGTGGCCGCCTGTCGTTTGGGCCTGGTTGCCTGGTCCGCCGCCTTGTTGTCATCGTCGTCGCCTCGTCGCCGCCTCGTCGCCGCCCGTCGTTTGGGCCGAGTCTGGGCTCCATTGCCGGGTCCGCCGCCTTGTTGTCGTCGTCGCCGCCCCCTTGCCGCTGCCTGTTCTGCCTGTTCTGCCCGTCGCAAGAGGGAGGGAGGGAGGGAGGAAGGGAGGGAGGGAGGGAGGGAGGAGGAGGAGAAGGAGGAGGAGGAAGAGGAGGAGGAGGAGGAGGAGGAAGAGGAGGAGGAGGAGGAGGGGGGAACAGTAGGAGGAAAAGGGAGGAGGAGGAACACGAGGATGATGATGATGCTGATGATGATGGTGATGATGATGCTGATGATGATGATGATGATGATGGTGGTGGTGATGATGATGATGATGAGGAGGAGGAGGATGAGGAGGAGGAGGATGAGGATGAGGAGGAGGAGGAGGAGGAGGATGAGGGGGTGGGATAAGGAAGGAGAAGGGGAGGATAGACTCCTCCTTCCTCGAGGGCCTCCCCAGCCGGTCCTCCTGCTGGCGTTGGGTCTCCCCAGCAGGTTCTCCCCCCTGCCTGGATGCACAGTGGTCGGTGTGTGGCAGCCCAGGCGCGGGAGGTCTCCTCCTGCCTGGGCAGCCTCACTGAAAACATCTGTGCCCGAGGATGCGAACCTGCCCCAAGGGCTTCCCCCAGCCTCGTTTCGTCTCCGCCGCCAGGCGCTTCCCTCTATTCGCTGGCGCCTCTGGCGCCGAGAGGCGCGCGCAGCTACGTGAGTTGATTCGCTGAGTCCCCTGTCGCTATCCCCCCCGTCCGACCCGACAAGCCAGCCTCCGAAACATCCGACGTAGTCAAATTCTTTTTGTTCAGGTCATGGCGCTGTCTCGTGGCATCTCAAAGCGGATCTGGGATGCAAAACTGCCCAGGGGAGGGACCAGGAGTTCCCTTGAATGCCGACGTTGCGAAGAATGGCAGCATCGCGAGAAATCACGGCTGGAGCCGGAGACCCCACATGTCTGCGGCCTTTTCAGGCCGGATCACGCTGTGATGGTCCCGGGTCCCGTCGCCAGGCGACCACGCCCAGCGTGAGCAAATCACAGCGCGTGGATCTGAGCAGAGCAGGCCGTATCCACATCGTCGGATGCCAAGGGCTCGCCAGACAGCTGGCGTCGTGCTTTTCCTTTCCGTGAAATCCTGGGTCGCTTTGTGGCGATCTCGGGGCCCGGGTGAGCGCCCCTGGAGGCCAGAAGCGGCCGAGAAAACCTGGCTTTGTGATTTCCGTGCTTCCCACCGACGATTTGAGTCTTCAGTCTGGGAGTTTTCCCTTGATCTCGGCCTCCGGGGGCCGCTTTCGGGTCCCGGGGCCAGCGCGAACGGATCCGGGACGAAAAGCAGCTCCGAGGGAAGGGGTCGAGTAACATCGGCGGGGGTCACGGGAGTGCCCCCCCCTCCGTCCCTCCTCCCTCGCGGCCGCTTTCGCCTGTCTTCCCCCGCTCCTGCCGCTGGGTTCGTTTGCGCCTCCCGTGGCCCGGGCCGCCCGAGCGCGCGTGCGGACTGCCGCTGCCGCGCGGCGACGCGAAAGTGCCACGGCTTTCGTCACGATGAGGTCTGGGCCTTCTGCCGCCGCTGGGCGGTTGGGCGGGCGCGCTGGCGGGGGGGGGCGTGGGCCCGCAGGTGCGCCAGCGCCGGCCGGGGTGCCCCCATGCACGTCGCCCGAGCCGTCAGCCTGCACTGGCCGCTCCGCCGTCGTCGTCGTCGTCGCCGTCGTCGTCGCCGTCGTCGCCGTTTTCGTCGTCGTCGTCGTCGTCGTCGTCGTCGTCGTCGTCGTCGTCGTCGTCGTCGTCGTCGTCGTCGTCCCGCCTCCTTATCCTCCTCCTTCTCCTCTTCCTCCTCCTCCTCCTGCTTCTCCTTCTCCTCCTCCTCTTCCTCCTCCCCCGCGCCTGCCCAGACAGCTCAAGACGACCCCAGTAGCCCCCAAGAGGACCTCGACAGGCCCCCAGGAGGCCCCCAGGATGCCCCAAGATAGCCCCAGACGGCCCCAATAGCTCCCAGGGAGGCCTCAAAAGATCTCGAGGACCGGGCTCCTGACCGTCAATTTCGTCGTCGTCGTCCTTCTTCTTGTTCTTCTCCTCCTCCCTCCTGCTCCGCTTCGTTCCTCCTCGTACTCGTCCTCCTCCATCTCTTCCTCCTCGTCCTCGTGCTTGTCTTCCTACTCGTTGTCCTTCTTCTCCCCTCGCTGCCTTCCCCGTCATCCACGCTGTCATCCTCGACATTCGACTCCTCGTCGTCGCCATCATCCCATTCTTCTTTCCTGCCTACGAGCCCACTGGACAATCAGGTCCGGTCAGCGCTTCCCCTCCTTGTCCGATCGGGTTGCTCTAGTGAGATTTTGTGACTAGGCGGGTTCGTCTGCGTTGGTTGAGGCCGAGGTTCCAGCAGCCCGATGCGCGCACTCGAGCAATGCCCGTCTACCGAGCGCGAGGCCTCGAACACGAGCAATGCCCGTCTACCGAGCGCGAGGCCTCGAACAGCCCCCGACCGGCGCTCCTGCTCTGCCGTGGGCCGCCTTGACCGCTCGCGCTCGGCAGGGATCCCGTGCTGAAGAGCACGCCGTGGGCTGCTGGAGCGCCCGAGCTCGGAGCAAGTGCAGTGCTGGAGAGCTGGCGCCGTGGGCTGCCGGAGCGCTCGCGCTCGGTGAATGTGTGCAGTGCTGGAGCGCACGCCGGGGGGCTGCTGGAGCGCTGGCGCTCGGTCACCATATGCCACTGGAGCGTTCTTCCTCGCGATAGTTACGCGCGGGATCGACCACCCCGTTTAAGGCTCTCATCGTACAGATAGGACGGGGAGAGGGGTACAGGGCGCGGCGGGGAGGCGGGGTTGCTAGCATTGTATTCACGCCTTCCTCTCAAATGGTGCCCTTTGCTTAGATCGCGTTTGCGCTGTTTTGCCGGCCCTGACGACGTGGCGCGCTGGCAAGTTGCGCCGCTTGAGCCGAACGGGCTACGGATGCAACGAGGATCAGGACCTGACGCTTTCCCCAAACCGCCCCCCGATACATTATCACGCTCGCGACGAACGCAACATCCCACTGACTGTACCTCCCCCTCCCTCTATTCCGTCCATGCTCCTTGTTCCACCCTGTTCCATCCTCTTGTCCTTCTCGTTCCAGCCCGCCTCGCTGCGTCCGATGCCGCTGCTGTTTCGTCCCAAGCTTTGGTCGCCCTATGGCCCACGCGGTGCTCACAGCCACAGGTGCTGGACTGTCTTGCAGAGCTTCGAGACAGGAGCAGACACATCCCTCGCTGTCCAGTCTCTCTGATCGTCGTACTCTCTTCCCCTGAGCCTCTCCCCAGGCTTAAGCCGGGCCTGTCCCTCTACAGGAGGAATATTCAAAAATAGTGAAAAAATAGTCTGGGGACTTGTTTTGCAGCATTTTTTGACCGTTTTGGAGCTTTTTGCACGAACTTTTTATTTTTCGTCGAAAATCCCCCTGTAGGGGGACACGCCCGACTTAACCCCAGGTGGTTGTCGGGCCATACGTCGGCTCTCCGGCAGCCGTTCGGGACGAGCCGGGCACCCCCTGGAACACCCTCGGCGAGGCGCAGCCGATGGAGAGTGCCCCGAGGCTGGAACGCCGCTGGGAATCGACGAAAGCCATCGAAGACCTCGAACTTCGATCCTCGAAAAACGCCTCGTGCCCTTCCCCCGCGCCCTCCTCCCCCGCCTTCCCGCTCCTCCCGCCTGCCTCCCTCCCCGCCCCTCCCCTCCCTCTCTCCCGAGGTCGCGGGGGAGCCGCCCCTCCGCGGCCGCGGCCGGCTTGAGGGAGCCCGCGGCCAGGCTTCGCGCGCTCGGACTTCCTGCAGGGGGGGAGCCCTCGTCGTCGTCGTCGTCGTCCGTCGTCGCCGTCGTCGTCGTCGTCGTCGTCGTCGTCGTCGTCGTCGTCGTCGTCCGTCGTCGTCGTCGTCGTCGTCGTCGTCGTCGTCGTCGTCGTCGTCGTCGTCGTCGTCGTTTTGTCGTCGTCGTCGTCGTCGTCGTCGTCGTCGTCGTTTTGTCGTCGTCGTCGTCGTCGTCGTCGTCGTCGTCGTCGTCGTCGTCGTTTTGTCGTCGTTTTTGTCGTCGTCCCTCGTCCGTCGTCCGTCGCCCGTCGTTCGTCGTCCGCCGTCCTCTGCGACCATCTGCGAATCTTGATTGCCCCTACGGGTCCAGTCGAAGCTGAGATATCGGACATCACTTCTGACCGCCACTGACTTGCGGGGGTAGGTATCACATGTGGTTGTCCACGTCCGTCATCGTCGTCGTTGTCGTCGTTGTCGTCGTCGTCGTTGTCGTCGTCGTCGGTCGTCGTCCATCGACCGTCGGTCGTCGGTCGTCGCTCGTCGGTCGTTTGTCGTCGTCGTCGTCGTCGTCGTCGTCGTCGACCGTCGGTCGAGTCGTTGCCCGTCGGTCGGTCGGTCCGTCGGTCCGTCGGTCGTCGTTGTCGTTGTCGTTGTCGTCGTGGGCGTCCGAGTATTGAGGGTCCAGAATCGGAGGTTGGGGGGTGAGATCGAAGTGAAACGGAGAGCCCCCGACCGGGAAATCGGTTTCGGTTTCATGGCTGAGGCGCGGCCGGACCAAATGATTCCCCCTCGGCAAACGGGGCCGCGCGGTGTCCCGCCGATGTCCCGCCGTTGTCCCGCTGGTGTCCTGGTAAGTCACTGTGGCTGAGGCGCGGCCGGACCAAATGTTTCCCGACCGGCAAACGGGGCCGCGCGGTGTCCCGCCGGTGTCCCGCCGGTGTCCCGCTGGTGTCCCGGTGTCCCGGTGGTGCGAAAACGGTAGTGAAATTGATAGTGAAATCGATTGTGAGATCGATTGAAATCGATAGTAAGATCGATAGTGAGATCGATCGAGTGAGATAGATGGTGAGATCGACTGTGGGATCGATAGTGAATGATAGTTGGATCTATGGTGAGATCGATTGAGTGAGATCGATAGTGAGATCGATCGAGTGATATCGATAGAGAGATCGATAGTGAGATCGATAGTGAGATCGATGGAGTGATATCGATAGTGAGATCGATAGTGAGATCGATGGAGTGATATCGATAGTGAGATCGATAGTGGTATCGAAAACGAGTTGGAGTGAGATCGACAGTGAAATTGATCGAGTGAGACCGATAGTGGGATCGATCGAGTGAGATCGCTTGAGATCGATCGTGGGATCGATAGTGAGACCGATAGTGAGATGCAAGTCGAAATGCAGATCGAAAAGCAAATCGACATGCACATCTATAAGCAAGTGCAAATGCAAATCGTCAGGGACATCGACATCCCGTGCTGTATGCTGTGCCAAGAGCGAGCGGCAACGCAACAATCTCTGAACACCAAGGCTCCCAGTACGAACGTTGGCGGAACAGGCTCTTAAGGGTCGCTCCAAGAAGCTCCGGGAGGCCCCGAGAGGCCCCCAAGAAGCCTCAAAAGGCACCCAAGAGGCCCCCAAGAAGCCCCACAAGAGGCCCCCAATAGCCCCCCAAGAGGTCCAAAAGACGCGCCAAAACGGCCCCCCAAGCTTTTGCAAAATGAACGAAATGGGTCGCTCCAAGAAGCTCCCGGAGGCCCCAAAGAGGCCCCCAAGAAGCCCAAAAAGGCACCCAAAAAGCTCCCGAAGAAGCCCTCCAAGAGGCCCCCAAGAGCCCCCCACTTTGTCCAAAAGACGCGCCCAAACGGACCCCCAAGCCCGTGCAAAATGAACGAAATAATATATTATTTCATGAGTTCCTGGGGGTGGGACTGGTACCAAGGCGCCCAAGAGCGAAGGGTGACGTACACAACTCGACACCAAGGCTCCCAAGAGCGAGCGGCAGCGCAACAATCTCCACTGGCATCATCGGAACAACAATCACCACTGTTGCCCATTGCTGGCCCCCTCCCCCCCCCAACCTCCTGATCACCCGCAGGGTGGTCGCATAGGTATATATGTTATTGTTGTTGCCGTTGTTGCTGTTGTTGCTGTTGTTGTTGGTATTGTTGTTGATCTTATTGTTGTTGTTGTTGCTGTTGTTGTTGCTGCTATTGTGGTGGTTGTTGTTGCTGCTGCTGTTGTTTGTGTTATTGTTGTTTTTGCCGTCGTTGTTGTTAGTTCCGTTTTGGTTATTGATTTGTTGTTGTGCTGCTGTTGTCGTTGCTGTTGTTGATGATGTTGTTGTGGTTGTGGTTGTGGTTGTGGTTGTGTGTACGTGTGCGTGTGCGTGTGCGTGTGCGTGTGCGTGCGCGTGCGCGTGTGCGCGCGCGCGTGCGTGTGTGTGTGTGTGTGTGTGTGTGTGTGTGTGTGTGTGTGTGTGTGTGCGTGCGTGCGTGCGTGCGTGCGTGCGTGTGTGTGTGTGTGTGTGTGTGTGTGTGTGTGTGTGTGTGTGTGTGTGTGTGTGTGGGGGGTGCGAGGAAAGCGATGCCTTAATTGTGATGTTTTGGATTTTTGCTCGGCATCCGATTGCCTCCTGGGACTTCTGGGGACACCCCACGGTATCTTGGGAGGCCTCAGGACGACGTCGGCCGTCGTCGTCGTCGTCGTCGCCGTCGTTGCCGTCGCCGTCGTCGGCGGTCGTTGGTGGTCGTCGTCGATCGTCGTCGTCGTCCCTTGTTAAGTATCGTCGTCGTCGTCGTCGTCGTGCGTCGTCGTCGTCGCGGCGTTCGTGGTCGTCTTCGTTCTCTGTCCTGCGGCCGAAGCGGGGCGGGGCGAGGGGGGAGCGGGGGCGGGTGTGTCTCCCTCCCTCTTTCCCCAGCTCCCTTTCTCCTCCCTCCCTCCCTCTTTCCCGAGCTCCCTTTCTCCCTCCCTCCCTCTTTCCCGAGCTCCCTTTCTCCGCCTCCCTCCCTCTTTCCCCCGCTCCCTTCCTCCGCCTCCCTGCTCCTCCTGCTCCTCCTGCTCCTCCTGCTCCTCCTGCTCCTCCTCCTCTTCTTGCTCGCGGGGCCTCACGTCAGCGGCAGCGGCCACCGTGAGGTGGACGTGGCTCTGTCGGTGGGCACTCTGCCCTCGCCCCTCGCCTTAGATCTCCTCCTCCTCCTGCTCCTCCTCCTCCACAGGGCTCTCTTGGTTCCACAGGGCTCTCTTGGTCCCCTCGCCTTAGATCTCCTCCTTCACCTGCTCCTCCTGCTCCTCCTGCTCCTCCTCCACAGGACTCCCGAGTTCCGAGTTCCGAGCTCCTTCTCCTCCACTCCTGTGTCCCCTCAGAGAGTCTGTTGCAATAGAACCGCTTGCCAGCGTGTGCTCCAAGTTTGTCGGTTCTTGCAGTCTCACTGTGCGTTCCACGTGCTGCAATGCGTGGGAGGGGCTCAATGTTGAAGAACGGGAAGTCTTCAACTCCAGTGCTCGCGCAAACAGCCCACCCTCCCGCCTGCAATTTGTTAGCCAAGTCCATTCGGCAACGATTGTGGTTCCCGACTGGAGCTTGCGCGTCTGTGCGGCCGCGCTGGAGCGCGCACGCTCGCGCGCAGAGCGACCAGTTGGTTCAGTGAAACTGATGTGGCCGCGATGGCGCTTACCGATGGTAGCTTTGCAGCGCGTGTTGGGGAACGCTTAGAAAAGGCCCTTCGGGACCCGCTGCCGGTTCCGGCAAGGTGCGCCGGGGAGCCTGGACCGCCGCCAGAACGACGTCCGGGGCTCCCCTGCGGCCCCGGCTTCTGGGTTTGAAACCCTCTCAGCTCTGCTTAAGGAGCTATATCCGGGAGTGGCCCCGAAGGGCGCGCTCCGTGGTCCCTCACAGGCAACCCCTCGTTCTTGTGTTCACGGAGCCGCCCTCCATCCGTGCAGCGGGTACCACTTGGAGGGCTTCAAGGGCGAGACCGCATTTCGAAAGCGAGCCCCGTTTCGAGCGGGAGCCCCCAACCTCGAGATACGAACGAAACCTGTATCGGGCCGAACGAAAGGGGGGGACAGGGAAAGGGGGGGTTACGAAATCTGCTGCATGCAGCTGGTTTCGGCCCCGCCGCCGGGCCCATTCGATAAATGGGCGCCTCCCAGCGCCGGGAGGCGCCGGGAAAATCAGCTACGTGAGCTGATGCTCAAACCCCCCCTTTGGTATCCCCCCCTTTCGCCCGGTCCGAGTGCACACAGCGCCCAGGCGAGTGCCACGTTTTTGGAGGCCAGGTGCGCTCGATCCGTGTGCCTGGGACTCGGGTCGTTCTTCGAGGACGTCTCGGGCGACGGGGGCCTCCACGGTCCCAAAACCGTGCGGTGACGGACCGTGCGGAGAGGTCTTGGGGGATTTCGAGGTCACCGCACGGTGTGTCACCGCACCGTTTCGGGACTCCAAATCCCCCGCGAAGCCGTTCTGGCCTGAGTTCTTGCCCAGGGCCACTTCAGCTCGTCTCGTCTGGGCTTCGGCAGGAGCCACCCGCTCCCACGACCGAGCCGCTTCTGGCTCACGCTGATGCACCTTCGAGCTATGCTCGTGGCCAACGATCGCGCTCTCGCTCACGCTCGCGCTCACGCTCACGCTCGCGCTCGCGCTCGCGCTCACGCTCACGCTCGCACTCTATCACGATCGCGCTCGCGCCCGCCTGCAGATCGAGTACCGACCCGCAGCTCATGCAGATGCTGGTGCATGCCCCCGTGGAAAGCCTGTCCGCTGCGCGTCCGGCCGGGCTGCCGCACCTTCGTCGCGGGCGACGCGGGCCCGAGAGGGTGCCCTGGGCGATGTGGACGGGCGCCACGGAACACCCGTCCATCGAAAGACAGGATTGTGTTCGTTTCTTATTCAGTGTTTTGCCGATCGGCGCGGGCCCTCGCACCCTCCCTCCCCCTCCTTATGTGAAGTGGATCTTGGCTGTTTCTGGCGCCTGTTTCAGGCAGGGTGGAGTCTCCCCCACAGGACGCACG